CCTCCTGGGTCCCCACCATTCACCTGCTGCCTTCCTATGGCGCTGGGATCTCGCCCCGCCCCCTCTTGCTGCCCCGGCACCCCCCCAGAGTGCTGGCCCCCCTGGACTCCTGCCCGGGCATGGGCAGGGACGGCTCCACAGGGCATCAGGGGCCGGTCAGCTCGCGGTCTGGGCGCCACATTTCAGGGAAGAGGTGGAGAAATTGGCGCAGGCCCAGGGAGGAGCAAGGAAACGGGGAGAGGCTAGAAAACAGGAGCTAGGAGGGACGAGTGAAAGAATCGGGCTTGTTTAGTTTGGGAAGGAGAAGACGGCGAGGGGACCTGGGAGCAGCTTTCAGGTACCTAAAAGGGTGGGGTTTTTTTGGAGCAGCTTTCAGGTACCTAAAAGGGTGCTTTTTTGGGGGGGGGAATTGCTCTCCTTGGCCTCTGATGGCAGGACAAGCAGCAAGGGGCTGACGCTGCAGCAAGGGAGGTTTGGGTCGGACACTAGGAGCGTCCTGCCTGTCAGGGTGATGAAACACTGGGATCAATTGCCCCAGGGGGGTTGTGAAAACTCCGTCACTGGAGATATTTAAGAAGCGGTTGGACTGACGCCTGTCAGGGATGATCTGGATGGAGCTCGGTCCTGCCATGAGGGCAGGGGACGGGACTCGATGACCTCTCGAGGCCCCTCCCAGTTCTATTATTCTAAGCCCCGCCTTCTGATCCCATATGGCATCAGCCAATCAGCTTCCAGAGCCATGATTTCCGTAGTCATGGAAGGCTAATCGAGGCTATGGGTCATGCCATTGCAGGAGATCCTGCCTTCTGGGGAAAGGGGCGTCCCTGTGGCATCAGCCAATCACTTTCCTACGGCTGTCCAATGAAGGAAGTCCCGTCCCCCAGTGGGAGGGACTTCTCTACTGCATCAGCCAATCAGCTTCAAAGGTCCAGAGATGCATTCCAGGAAGTCCTGCCCCCCATGAGTGATTGACAGCTGTCAGCGCCTCCCCATAGGCGGGAAGTTGGGGCCTGACTCGAGGGAAAGGGGAGGATCCTTTGCTGGAAAGGGAAGATGTTTTGTCTGCTCCCACCACATGCTTAGGGGGCTGGCCACCCCGAGGTGGCGTGGGTGTTCTGGTTCGGGCAATACTGACCCACCCAAAATGACCAAGTGAATACCAGCCCACCCTATCCTTCCCAGCCACACCAGCCCCAGGGACCCATCCTAGAATCCTGCCCCCTTCCCACAAATTCATGGGCCCATCTACCCCGGTATCTGACCCACGCCGTTCTCTGCAGGCGGAGCCGATCCAGGAGGACATTAACAGTGCCCTGCTAGACTTCAAATCAGGGGGCAACAGTCAGAGGAAAGAGGCACTCAGGTGGGATGGGAACCCCGGATTCTGGGGGACTTGGGCTGGGTGGGTGCATTGGGGGGCACCCCGCAGGGGAGGGGCTATACTGGGACAGGGACCAGGGGATTGGGCGGTCTGGCCTGGAGGCAGCTTACACACCTTGGGGTGATGGGGAGTTCTCAGAGGAGTTCTGGGGGGCTGAGCTAAAGGGGGGATCCCCAGCGGATAAGGGCGGGCCAAATGGGTGAAGTTATAGGGAATCCCACAGAGGCATAAGGAGGATCCTGTTGGGGGGGTCCCCATAAGGGCTGGGACCCCTGGGGTAGCTGGAGCTGGGGGGGGGAGTTCGTAGGGGGCAGAGGAGAGTGGGGGGGGGGGG